TGATGCTAAGAGTGAGACCAAGAAAGGGTTGGAGACTGCCTCGAAGCCGAAGGAAGACGAAGCCGTGAAAAAGGACAGCAAGCCCCCGACGACTGCAAGGCCGACTGAGCTCAACGACAACGTTCACTCCTTGGTGGTTGTGAGCGACACCGCCGCCTCCGCTGTCACGGAGAAGGAGACCGAGAAGAAGGTGTCAGTGAAGGACACTGACGGCAAGGTGGTCGAGTACGAGGCGGACGAGCTGCTGCGGGCGAGCAAGGCGGCCGTGGAGAACTCCGCGCTGCTGCAGGTGCTCCGACAACAGGTGGAGGCGGGCCACCACTGTGCCGTGATCCTGGCCAACGGCAAGCAGCAGGGGCCGGTGAGCCTGAGCGTTGCGCAGGCCCTCTTGAAGTCCGTCATGGCTGCGCTCAAGAAGAATGAGGAGGAGAAGGGGATCAAGTACGAAGTCCAACTGACAGCCGCCGCGATGCCCTCGGTCGACACGGTGAGGGACCTTTTCGCCGCTTCGAGCAAGGACGCCAAGCCGCTGCAACTCGGCTCCAACCCCATCTTCGGTACATGCATCGTGGACCTCGAGGAAAAGCCGGTGAAGAGTGGAGGTGATGCGGAGAGCCTTCTGCAGGACGCGTTGAAAGCCTCGCCCAATGCGGAGGAGGCTGTTCTCCTGCAGTTGGTGGTGAAGCAGATCAAGCGTCCGAGCAGCACGACCACCGATGTGTCGCTCTCGGCGATGCAGTTGCTGTTCGTAAAGGAGCGGGGTGACTACCTGGCGGCCCTCCACGATAAGGACGCGAAGTTGCTGCCCGTCCCACTCTTCAAGGACGCCGTGGGGGGAAACAGCTGCACGCTGGTCGTCGCCGCCGTGTCGGGGGGTGATGCTGTTGGGGAGACGAACATCCTCAAGAATGTGTTGAGGCTGCGGAAGGTGAAGAATTCCCCCTCGCGCAGTGGCAATCTCACCCGCTTCGTGGAGTTCACAAAGGAGCAGGAGAGGAAGTGT